TCTCTCTCTCTCTCTCTCTCTCTCTCTCTCTCTCTCTCTCTCTCTCTCTCATTCCAGAAGGAGCTTAATTCCATCGCATTGGAGCTGTCTGGACCCCAGGAGGAGAGCAGAGAGCATTCTCCTAAACGTTTTCTTGAACTCCGCCGGGAATTTAAGAAAAATGTGCCGGAGGTAGTGTGTGCCTGCTGCTGCGGCGTTGCCTTCCCCCTGTTCAGACTGTGCCGTGAAAGCTGTACACACAAGTGACTAACAAGAAAAGAAGCTAATTAGCCACAAAGATAAACCATAGCCCCTGCCCATCAACCTTCACAGACACCCAAGCGCCTCCACCCAGATCACTCTTCCCCAGGACGCCAGGCAGCTCAGATTTGCCGTCAGTCTAAGCCCTGGGTGAGATGGTGGTCATTTGATGACAAAGATAATTGGTCCTGAAGTCTGGATCATCTCCTGCCTGCCCTTAGGCCTGGAAGACATAGCTAAGGCTCTGAAACCCACCCCTCACTGTCAATCAGTGTACCTGCCCCTCTCCTCTTCCATCAAGGTTACAGACCCCAGTCTTTGTCCACAGATAGAAATGCCCAGGCAATGGAAAACCCACTCCCTCTCCCCTAAGGAGCAGACCGGCCCAGACATGTGTCTGTTCTTTTCTGAGGCTGAATGTGAGAATTTTATTTCCCCCCTGCTATCAGGACCCCTTTTGCTTCTCAAATTTTATATATATATATAAAAAAATTAAGCCAGGCAGTAGTGGTGCACACCTTTAATCCCAGCACTTGGGAGACAGAGGCAGGGAGACCTCTGTGAGTTCAAGGGCAGCCTGGTCTACAGAGCGAGTTCCAAGACAGCCAGAGCTGTTACACAAAGAAACTCTTTCTCGAAAAACAAACAAATAAAACAAAATTTAAAAAGTGGCAAGAATAAACAGCAAAATGGAGCCCTTAGATCCTGTGTCACCGACAGAGCTGAGACCCTTGCAGAGAGTACAGGCCACCGACTCAGGGCCAGGCCTAAGCTCCAGCCAGCAGCCGCTGCTTCTGCCAGTCCCTGTCTCGGCTTACCTGCTGGGGTGTGCTGGACCATGGATGGCAGGTGGGGGCTGGCAGATGTCCCAGGAGCATGGTGGGAGGCTTCTGGGGACTCTTGTGGCTCTTGGCGGTAGAGGAAGACCTTGGGTGTGAGAGGCAGGGCACAGGGGCTGGGCCTTACCTGAAGCTATCGAATTCCACCACCATTTAATAAGCAACTGTGGTTCTTCAGGGCAAGTTTTGGGATGAGGGCCAGCTAGAACACGTTTCTAGGGTAGATCTAGAAAGCTGTGTGTGAAGATGTGTGCGGCAAAGAGGCAGAGGCCGCAGACTCAAGGGTCTCTTGCTGTCATGACTTTTTAACAAGCACAAGTGAGGTCCTTTTGAGGTGGGGTCACACATAGCTCAGGCTAGCCTCTAACTCCTCATACAGTTGAGGATGTCCCTGAATTTCTGGTCTCTCTCCTCCATCTCCCAAGAGCTGGCTTACAGGTGTGAGCCTTGTACACACTAGGCAAGCACTCTGCAAACTGAGGCATATCCTCAGCCCACCCTTCTCTTTTAAACATCATAGTGTGGTCTATAAAGAGTTTTCTCCCCTATATCAAGAGTGCATCTGGCCCTCCCATCTCTGGGAAGCGTAGCTGAATCCATTGTCAGCCTTCATGGCCCCACACACCTTTTTTCTTCCTCTGGCCTTCAGCTGTCTCATCCTCTCTCCCCCAGCATAGTGAACTCATCCTCAGCTACTGCTTCACATGGGAGCCCTCAGGTGAGAAGGGAAATCCAGGCCAGGTTTTCAGCCTGTGAGTTTGACTTACATAATTTTCAATGCTACATAATTATGCAATTACATAATTAGAAGGGATAAATTTCCACTCCTATTATAGTCATGGCTCTGGAAACTCTCATGTTGGGAGCTCATCCCTCCTGATGGGAGAGTCGTGATAACTTTATTTAAGAGCATCGTCTGGGAGGTCCAGTCCACCTACTGCGTGTGTCCTGCCTAACTCCCCTGGACTTACATATTCATTGGCAGGACTTGGCTCAGCACCCATCTACTTCCCCATCTCATGGCTCTCAGATGTGAACCCCTAAACTCATCTGAATATGGGGTTTTGAGAATGAAAAGAGCCCATGCAAGGCATCTTTTGGCCTGGGCTCCAATTGTAGCTTGCCGTTTCACCTTGATTAGTCCAGTCCCCATGGGCCGTGGTACCCCCTTTATAAAATCAAGCCTAAGTTAAACTTTGTGTTGGCTTCCCATGAGGCTTTAAGATCTACACTGCTGCCCGGGTCTCAACCGCAGTCTCCAGCACCAGCCCCTTTAATCAGTGCTGTGGTGTGCAACCACCTCCTCCTGGTAGCTTCCTGCTTCTGCACACTAGACTTGAGACTGTGACCTTGAGCCTCCTAAGCCTGCCATCACTCAGCCTGGCAACCTGGCTCCTGAAACCAAAGCCACAGGCACCGTCTGTGTGCCCCCTAAAAGCCCACCTTACATCCAGCCAGCAGCTACTCTGGGAAGGCCCAGAGGCAGAAGTCAGTGTAGAGTGCTAGCTGGGACCAGAGCAGGAACCTTGTCCAGGGGGAGAAGTAGCAGGGTGTGTCGCCATGGTTATGGGTTTCTCCATAACTTCCGCCCTCCTGCTGCTTCTGTACCATTCATCCCGCCTCTACCGCTCCCACGGGGTTTTCCTTGTGACTTTAACCAATTGTGGCAGGAGGAAGGATCCCCAGTGGATCCCTGAGGTACTCACAGGCTTCAGGGTTAGCACCTTGGGACACTCACCTCTGCTGAATGCTGGGGGAACCCCAGACACCACTCCTTGGGTCTGAGAAGCTGGGACATCGGTGGGTAGAGGTGAGTCCACCTGTGTGCTCAGAGCATTGGTGAAGTTATTGGTCTGGTCCACAGCCACATCCCTAGAAATCATTTCGTGCTCTGGTGAGGAAGGACAGACAGGAATAATGGTGACTTTTGGTGAAATACAGGGTGCAGGTTCATGGAAGATGGCTGTGTGGAAGAAGCAGCCCATGTCACACCCAGAAGGACAAAGGGACTTCTTGGGGGGACTTTTTCTACCTAGCACTGAGAGTGGAGAATCAGGGCCAGCTCTTCAGCCCCCATCCTTCTGAACTAAGCCACAGGACCAACCATGCCATGTACAAGGATGTCATGAGTACCATCATTGTCATATTCAGGAGGCTGAGGCAGGGGGCTCTTGAGTTCAAACCAACCTGAGCTACATAGAAAGACCCCATCTCAAAATGCTAATGGCTAGGGATGTAGCTCAGGGGTGGGTGTGGTATTCTTTGCTCCACCCCCAGTACCACCAAAAAGAAAATAGGTGTGCGTTTAGGAAATAACCATCCTGCCTCCCTCTCCAGAATGCCCAGTCCTGTGACATTGAAGACCCTAAAAGCACTGCAGGGACAGAATCTGGTGTGTGTACGTATGTGTGTGTGCATGCGTGTGTGCGTGCATGTGTTCCTTACAAAACCACAGTTTTGTAAGGTTCCATAGAGAACAATGGTGAGGGGTGCTGGGGTGGGTTGGGGAGCACCTGCACTGTGGTAGACCCTCCATCACTTCTTTTTCAGGGAATCAGAGAGATGGTGGCTCCCGTGCTGAAGAGCTTCCAAGCCGAGGTAAGAGCCAGTAGCTAAGTGCTTGGGGAGGTGGGGGCAGCATGCACTGGGCTTCCCTCCCCGCAGGCTACCCCTCCCCAGGTTGAAATCTGAGGTCTGCTGCCCTGCCAAGACATCCTTGTGGATAAGGCCCAGGGGCTACCAGCCCTCCCAGCTCATCCACCTCCCATCACTCTCAGGGTGAAGTCAGCCTTGCTCACAGCCTTTGCCGCCATCTGGCAGTGGCTGCCTCTACCTGCCCATCCACCCCATGACAGTCAAATGTACCATCTATGGCATTGGTGCTGTCCCTTCGCCTGCCTGAGAAGATGCTAGGGTCATGCTGGGCTGGGGAGGGGAGCCCATCTCTAATATCCCCTGGGCAAGGACTCCCCCTGAGCTCAGGTGGACCCAGAAAACCCTCCCTTGGCCCCTGAGATGAAGGGGAGGGCTCCTGTTCATTCCGCACTCCTCAGCTCCTCAGCCATCTCTCACTCAGAGCTACATAAGACGTAGGCCTCGGCTGCATATACATGAATGTTGGTGTGGACAGGGTTCTAGATGCCTGAACCTCCATGTCCCTCTCTGTACCATGGGAATAAAGAGACTTGCGGTCCTCCTGTGTAGTTTTGGACATGGATAGTGAGAGAGACCGCAGGAAAGGGGGATATGCCCACCTGGCCCGCTGTCTCAGTGTCGCTGGAATGTGGCTGGGGTTGGAACCCTGCCTCTAACACTTACTGGCTGTGTGTGTGATCTGAGGTGAGTTACTTGGCCTTTCTGCGCCTCTGTGTCCTCCTCTGTCAGATTGGTGATAATTTTCTCTCTCAACAAGATTGAGGCTGAGGGGGGTGCAGGGTCAACAACAAGGAAGTGTTTGGAATAGTGCCTTGGGTGTTCAAAGCCTGGGGACAGCTGGGAGTGGTGGCACATGCCTGTAATCCCAGCGCTTGGGAAAGTGGAGACCATCCTGGCCTGCCAGGAGAGATGATGTCTTTCCTCTGCCGCAGAAGAAAGACTTGGATGTTAGAAGTGATGTGAAGACCCGAGGCACAGTCTCATGGGTAGTGGGCTTGGAATTTCAGCCCTGCTTCTTTAGCTGTGTGGCCCTGGGGAGGACCTCTCTGAACCTCAACTCTCCTCCTGGGACACAAAAAGAAGCTTGCAAATCCAAAGGAAGAGGAAGCTGCTGGGGGGCACGTGGTACGGTGTGCAGACAGTTGTTCCGAGGGATCTCTCTGGCCACACACCCACAGGACTTACCTTGACTGTATTCCCCAAGCCCCTGCCTTCCTCGTGGTCACTGCACTAAAATGCCATGGCTGTAGGTCCCGCCTCACCCCTATGGGGAGGGAAGTGGCCACAGAGCCAAATCAAGGTCAGATTCATTCCGGCCTTCCAGTCCAGCAGCCTTGGTGTATGCAGAGTTGGGGGTCCCCTCTCCCCAAATCCTTTTCCTGACTGTATGGGAGGTGTGGTGGGGAGGAAGTGGACTCGGCCCACCATGAACCAAGGCTTCCTTGATTGCTCAAAGGGCAATTTAGATTCCCCCCATACACACACCTCCCAGGAAAACATGCCAGCCAGGAAAGGTGCTTTCTGGGAACCAGCCTGAAATGGCCGAAGTTTGAAAATCCTCACGCGGAGAAAGGGAGCCAGCCCGAAAGCCCCACTAATTATAAAAGTTGCTTTTATGAAAGATAATTCAAAGCAGTAATTTAGCAAACATAATCAAGCCACGCAGATGGGGCCGCTGATGGATGGATTGCAACATGCAATTAGCGGCTCTCACAGTTACATGTCATTAACCCTCCACGCACAAAAATTATTTTCTCATTATTAGTTGAAAAGGTAAAATTAAGCTGACTAGACACTAAAGGAACAAACCACAATTAATTACCTTCATTTATTACAGTCATTATCTTAGAGTTATTTTTGCTTGGAGACAGAGAGATACAAACATCTAAATTAAAAGTTTTGTTTTTGCTAAATTTGAGGTGAGACGGTTCCAAGCGTTTTATGTACCAGCTTGCCCCCTAGACCTCAGGGCCACCCCAGCAGGCCCCTCTCGTGCAGTTTCTTCTTTGCAGGGTGGTCTGGGGTGACAGAAGCCTTTTCATTTTCTCTGGAGCAGAGCTGGTCACCTGAGCTAGTGGGAGCACAGCAGTTTGGGGACTGTGCTTGAATGGACATGTGTGACTTTGGCGAGTGATTTCCTGTGTTTGAGTCAGTGATTTGATGAGTGCCAGGTGGCAGACATGTCACTAGTGTGCAACACAGCAGGTATCGTGTACCTCAGCCTGCAGCCAACAGTGCCCTCCTTCTCCCTGGAACTGAGGAGCGCATGTGACCACCGCTTCGGAGCTGGTACCAGGAGACGTTGAGATGGCTGGCTGCATCCCTGCAGGCCTTTATCATTTGGAAACACTTAGTGAACTGAGGAAGGTGGTAACGTGACTTAGGAGTGCAAGGATCCAGGTTCGATCCCTAGAACCCACAATTAGGGGGAAAAAAGCAGCTAGTCATGGTGACTCCCCAGTGCTGAGGAGGTGGAGACAGAGCTCTGGGGCTCACTGGCCAGCCTGGCCTGCTTGGCGAGTTCTAGGCTAGTGAGAGACCCTGTCAAAATGTGTGCAGCAGCTGAGGAATGGCATTCCAAGTTGTTCCCGGTTTCACATGCACACACAGATACACGTACTTACACACACACACACACACATGTACACGTGCTCTCACCTGTAGCATGTTAAAAGCATCTGATGTCACCTTCGGGGGGTCTACATCCAGTCATCACCTCTGCCCCTCTTGGCATGGGAGCAGCAGGCATTTTTGCAATACACTCAAGGACTTGCCAGGGAAGACAAACCACCTTCCCACATAGCCCTCTACAAGTGTCTTTGGATGGCCCAATGCTTGTGTTAGGCTCCCATGAGGCTGGAGACGGCTCAGAGCTGGTGAGACACTGTCCCTACCCCTGGGGAAGTCCTGCCACCTTGTTCAACCCAGGGGACCTGGTGTGCTCTCCCTGAACTTGTGCTGCCTCAGCCATTCATCCTGCCCTTACCTATACACATATGCCCTTGAGTGCCCCCATTAAACCAGGCGTCTGTATCTCTTTGGGCCTGGGCCTGCTTTCACAAGAGACCAAGTGGCCCTTAGCCTGCCTGGTGGTTCTGCCTCCTGACCTGTCCTGCCGGCCAGCACACTTCCTATTGGGAGAAGCCAGGTCAAAAAGTGCTACCTAAAGAAGCAAGGCCAAGAGCTGGTGGCTGAGCTCTGCTGACTCCAGGCTCAGCGCCACCACCTGTGACATAAGGCGTCAAGAAGAGCCCAGTCACGCTGCCAAACCGTGAGCGATTTTGCTAAGGGGTTGTTTAGGAGTGTGGCTAATTCCGAAGATAAAAGGAGCAACCCCACTTTTTTCTTAACTGTGTTGAGCAAGAGTCACTTTACTTCTCTGGGTCCTTGCCCCTCCCACTTCAAAAGATTTTGATTTATCTATATTTGGGGTGTGTGTGTGTGTGTGTGTGTGTCTGTGTGTGTGTGTGTCTGTGTGTGCCTATGCCTATGCATTGCAGCAAATGGGTGCTAACCAAGGGAGGATTTGCAGGCGTCGTTTCTGCCCTTCCACCTTGTGGGTGCTAGAGATTTACTCTCTGGTCTCTGCTTTGAAATGAAGATCTGAATCATGGCTGCCCCTGAGGCTCATGGGGAGCTCAATGCACTGATACTAATACAGGGAGAATATATGACAGAAGAGAGGCTGGCCATGCCACACTTGTGCCTCCCACAAGTCCTGTGTGGGAGTCACTCACCCATTTCCTCTGGTGAGCTAACTGAGGCTCAGCCATGGCCTACAAGACCTGACTCAGGCAGGGACAGCAACCAGTAAGGCCTCAATGGCTCAACACTGTGAGCAAGGCACAGCCCAGATCATATGTCCCCTTCTGTAGGTCTCAGCTGGCCCAGAGAGGGCAAAGTGCTTGCCCAGGTCCTCACAGCCCTCCACCCATAGCCTTGAGGATGGGAACTACAAGGCTCAGTTTGGAGAGCTACCTGGGTTCCTCGACATCCAGGGAGCCAAGAGTTGCTGCGAAGGCCAAGCTGGGAAGCCCATAACATACACGGAAGTGAGGGGTTAAATCAGGACTGAGTTATGTGATACTAAATTCTCAATAGACAGGAGTGTCACCTGCAGCATGAGGCAGGTGCAAACGGCCCACGCCCTCCCCGCTCCCTGCCCACCCTCTCTGGTGGTGTCGCCTTGAGGACCATCCTGTCTTCTTGGCGGTCTTGCCGGCTGGAGGCGAGGCTCCCACTAACCCACACGTCCATCTGGATTTGCTGTCAGCCCACCAAAGCATCCTCGGGCTGTGATGCTGAGTTACAACCAAATTAAGAACCCTCAGCCATCCTCTTTGATTCGTTCTCTCTGCCTTATCAAGTAAATTATTAATGCTCCTGCCCCCCAGTTAAGCAGATACTTGCAGCCATTACGGGTCCTTCTCATTAGAAATAACATCATCTAAGGAAGGGTATTGATTGATTTTTTTTTTTTAATCTTGGAATCATGGACGTGAACCACATATTTACATGGCATTCCCTTTAACTCGAATTCTTGTGCTTTATTTTTATATTATTGATCCTTTTTTGACAAGAATTGCTTTTTGGCCTTGTGTGCACGTTGTAAGCTTTCCACCCGGCAAAGGAATCGGCTGCGCCCAGCCACGAAGAGCAATGACTCTGGCCACGTGGCAGGAACATTCCCGCACATTTAACAGCAATTAGTCTACCCTGCTGCCCAGACGCTCGTGTATGAAAATTTACAAGCCTTTTAATAGACTGAGCTCTGGGACCGGGCGGGCCTGGCGCCGGGCAGATGAGGCCACCGGGTGTACATCCATTGAGCTGCCGCCTCAGTCAGACGGAGGTGGGGGCGGGCGGGGAGGAGCTACTGGAAACACAGATCGCTCACTTCAGCAGGGTTTGTATGACCCAACACACAGGCACACATTCAGCTG